AATAATAAAAACAAATCAAGATTCTTTAACAATAGAACAGGTTTTCTTTATTATTGATATTTTATACTGTACAGTCTTTAGATTAAGCTGACTTAGGTGAGTCTTATTTAATTATTATAATATGAGAAAGAAATTTGAAAATAATAAGCCCCCATTTTAATTTAGGGTAAGTTAGTGTGTACTGCAAATTGCAATAGAATTTTAAACAATAAATTATATGACATTGAATAAGTGATAGATTTATGAAAAATTTAATGAAAGTGTGGGGTAATATTAAAGCGAAATCATTGAAATAAAACAAATTACTGAATTTAAAAACTTACATTTATTGAAATTAAAAAAACAAATAAAATCAGTCTCAAAATTGCAATTCAGTTTACGGATCAGTCTCAAAGTTGCAGTTTAGTTTACGGCTAGTTACATACAAAGTTACTTTTTCTGCTCTTCATTAGCGTCCTTGATCTCCTTACGCACCGGCCCGGTTTGTTGGATGGGGACACTTTTTTCATTTTTTGCTATGGACGGTACTCTAGGCGCAGTGACAGTGAGGACTCCATCGGACGAAAGCCTGGACTCCACGGTGTCTGGGTTGCAACCTTTGGGCAGAGCATATCTCCTAACAAACTGCCTAGAAATGTAGCCGTGGTGGTCTTTTTTCTCTTCGTGCTTGCCTTCAACGACGATGTATCCGTCCTTAGTTTTAACGGTTATCTCTTCGGGTGAGAAATGTTGTACATCAAGATTCACTTGGAACTTATCTTTATCGGCTTTGATGCTAGAGCCGACATCTCGTGCTGCGTTAGCCAGTTGGCGCCAGGGTCTGAAGTAGTCTCTGGACAGCAATGGTGAGGTGGCAACAGTTAACATGTCGTCCGGAGTGAGCGCCAAGCCAAAATCCTGATCCAGAAGACGACTTGGACGGTCATAGCCAAACACAAATGGTATAAGAGACATTTTTCAATTTACAATCTTGAAAAAATCACAGAACTTTTAAGATGTAGAGTTAGAATATCGCAAGCTGTTCACGCCGACTTGTTATGACTTCGTTAGCTCAATTCAAATTTCATGTGGACGCTCGTCGGCCGCCGTATTTATATGTACTCCGAACGCCATCTAGCGAGCGGTAGATGTTTCTCGACACTTGTTGTTGAATCATGAGTATGACGTCGCGTGAGAAAAGTCTCGAAATTTCTTAAATTGTGGCCTACTGCCGGCGGCGTGTTAGTAAACAATACGTTTATTGATTTTATTCATGTTTTGTAAACATAGAGGCAAAATAAATGGAATTTTCAATAATTTCATTCAAAAACGTTACGTTTTATGAATAATAAGAACATTTTAGAATAATAAGTCACTTTTGGGCGTGATTTATTAAATTTTTTGAAATACCTACATTCATGAAACAATGTAAAAATGCGTTTTTTATTTATAAAGCTAACTAAATAATAATCAAATTCGATTCTTTATTAATTTTAAGACTGTATGAAACATGAATAGCTCCCCACTCCTCTTTTGGAAGTCGGTTAAAAATGCAGAAGTAAGTACATACATTCAAACAAAAATAATATGCCTTCATTTTTATGTTTCAAGTTAAAACGTACAGTTCTATTGTTATTTATTACATGCATCTATACATATAATAAAATTGTAACTAAGCCGAATTTGTACATTAAAATTTTTTTTGAAAATCTTATTGAAATAGACATTATTATCGATACAGAGGCCGATTCTATAGTTTTTAGAATGTCTGCCTGTCTGTCTGTCTGTTACCGCATCACGGAAAAGCCACTGGAGGGATTTTGATATATTTGTTATGATGATAGCTGGTTATCCGGGTCAACACATAGGATACTTTTTACAGCGGGCAAATATCTCATTTCTGAGAAAAAATACAAAAACTGCATTGTAAGAGTATACTAATATATTAAACCTAAGAATTCTGTTTTTGGTCATCTGAACGCGGGCGGAGCCACGGGGCGTACTAGTTTTCAATAAATTTTAACTTCTTATATTATTTTCCATTCAAACATCCAAATTGTGCTAACATAATATTATTATCGTATCTTATGGCGGACGTGTTATTTCCTTTACACATCACTTAACATAGCACTATCACTATGTAGTTGAATAATACCTTTCATATCAATATTCAAACAAAAAAATAACACCTTGTTAAGAGGCCTATCACAAAATATACTGCGTTGTATCTTTATGGTATTGCGTTCGAGCGGCCGACGCATCGCTGTTTCTAGCATTTTCTGCAGTTGTAATTACTTCTATGTAAAGTTTTTATAATAAATTATTTAAAAAAAGTATGTAATTATGGTACTATCGGTATAAATTTTACTTAATAATATTAATGTTGTAAGGATATATTTATAGCTAACTCTGAAGGTTTTTAATAGTTTTTAAGATTTTGAAAAAAAAAATTTTTGTAGAAATCCAATACATATTACCACTATAAACTCAACCACTATATACGAGATATTATTATATATATTTCATTGCGTTTGCTTAGTATTATAGTAAATTAATTATTAAATACATTTTCAATCCATGAGCTTAAAAAAGGGTCGTCGCGCATTTTCTTAAAAACTTGCTTCTTAATTTTGGCTTTATTTCAATTAATAATAAAAATTTGCGAAAAGCGAGGCCGCTATGAATATATTATTAACTATTCTCTACCATACAGTAAGCCAAAATCGTCGAAGAGTTTCAGTTTCTCTGAATAAGAACGTCAAAGATGGGCATTAAATTGAAAAATCACGGTCATAATGTAATAGGCCTCTTAAAATACAAGAAATCCACATCACATATTATTAAATAACTTTGTAAAAATTTCGAGAATTTTCTATATTATTCAAAATTTAAATACTAATTTAATCTACAAAATCGATGGCAATTTGATTGTAAATAAATCTTAAATATTCTTCATGCAATATTTGTATATTATTCTCATTTTATTTATGAAAATATTTATATGTGTAGTACTATCTATTCTATACAGATAAATAAAATTGAAGTGTCTGTTTGTAATGTCAAAATAACAGTTTTTTTTTACTAAATGCATGTAAACGTTATAAATAACTAAAACACAATTATTAAAATTTTTGTCTGTCTGTCTGTTTGTTCCGGTTAATCTCCGAAACGGCTGGGCCGATTTTGACGCGACTTTCACAGGCAGGTAGTTGATGTTATAAGGAGTAACTCAGGCTACTCTTATTTCAGTAAAAGAATTAGGGTTCCGCTCAAAAAAAATGTACCTAGGGACGAACCCAAGCGAAGTGAGGGTGAGTCGCTAGTTAAGGAATATAATAACAATTATTTTATAAATATGATTATATAATATAAATTAAAATGTAAACAAACTACTTGTTGAGTTATTTATAGATTGCCGTACTTGAAACGAAATAGACAATAACAGTGACCTATTTCATCGTACTTACTATGTAGCTATTACCTATAAGTTATAACCTATAATTATAATATAAAACCACAGTCACACTTTCTATTACTTTGAATATGAACATAGTGTAATGTTTTAATTGGACAATTCGAATATTAAATTAATACATAGATAAAACTTAAAATTATTCTTTTGTTATCGTTTAAAATAATTTATAAGAATGTACATTATACAATGTATATTATATTTATGTATGTAGTTGTCGAAGTTTTCAGTTTTAAGGTCTGAAGGTGAGGCGACTAAAATCTTGGTTTTTATTACTCTTTATTAAATAATAATGCTATCAATAATAATTATAAATATCTATAGAACTATACACAAGTATATCAAAAAAGTTTGTTAAACTTTTTGAATTGTGGGTAGAATAACGTAATGTTCTAGATATACTTAAAAAATAGTTTAGTTAGTTTGTAAATAGATATATTTATGAAAATAATCATTCTTTTATGAACACTTACATTTAAAATTCACCGTGAAAAGCAACATGTTAATAAAATAATTGAAGCGATTCGATTATGTTTTATTGTTTTTATTAAAGAATTTAAGAAAGAGATTATATTAAATTAAATTAAAATCTTACATCAGTAAATTATAAAATTTAAAAGATTCTTTATTATTAATTTCAAACCATAAATAATTAATTTGCGGCAGAAAAATATAGGAAATCCTCTTAAAAACTATTTTTTTGGTGTTAAAATGTATTAGAAAAATAAAATGCACACAACATAATAAAGTCCTTAAATTCTAATTCCAAACAAACAACATAACCTTGATCGCTGACCTACCCCAAGGTGAGGTAGCGAGAGAAGGTTCGAGAATTAGCTCGAACCCACGCGCGCGGTCAACGGCCCGCGAACCCATCACGCACGACGAGTGCAGGGTTCAGAAACATATGGCTTCGGTTTTATATTGAGTAATATTTTCAATAGTAGTTCATAGTATCGATTTAATAATTATGTAAAAGTAAAACCTTACTACCATTTTGTCATTGTGTTAATGAAATAGTTATCAAATATTACAAACTTCAATTTGTTAAAAGGTATAATATTCTTTAGGTTTTATGGTATAAGGGTAATAATAAGTGTTAAATAATAAATAATCTCTTATTCATATTTTTTTATAACTATTTATAATTAATTAATTTATTTGTATAGTTTATGAAAACAGTCGTTAATATAAATTATAAATCGGATCATACTTAAGTATATCATAAATGTAAAATTTAAAAGAGTTTAAATATGAATAAAATTACTTTCGTTTTTATGTTATATCATTTTTATGTATGTTGTCTTCGTTTTTATTTTCTTAGTATGTGTTAAGATTTAACAAAACAACTATTTCTAAACATTTCAACCGCTTGTTTTGTACATCTGGCTGTAATACGAGAACAATCTACTCCATACTAGATGGCGCTTAGTATAAAAGGCGGCGCGCAGGAAATCGATCATCATATTTGAATTGAATTCAGAAGTGAGCGCTAGTAACGAGTGTGTGAATTCCTTTTATATAATATTTTACTCGAGTCTTTAATAAAATGTCTCTGCTACCATACTTGTTCGACGATTTCTCAATGAGACCACGTCCACGTCGCCTCATTGACCAGCATTTCGGCTTGGGATTGACACCTGATGATCTCCTCACCGTTGGGGCCAATCCTTTACTGACGAGAGAGTACTACAGACCTTGGCGTCACATGGCTGCAGCAGCCCGGGACTTGGGTTCCAGCATCAAGTCTGATTCCGACAAAGTCCAGATTAATTTGGACGTTCAACACTTTTCGCCTGAAGAAATCTCTGTGAAAACCGCCAATGGCTTCGTTATAGTTGAAGGAAAGCATGAAGAAAAGCAGGATCAACATGGATACGTTTCCCGCCAATTTGTGAGGAGATATGCGTTACCTGAAGGTACATTACCAGAAACCGTAGAATCTAAATTGTCTTCTGATGGTGTTTTAACTATCACCGCGCCGAAGAAAGTTCCAGATTCTGTGAAGGGTGAAAGGAAGGTTCCCATCACCCAGACCGGGCCAGTTCGTAAGGAAATCAAGGATCAGAACGAAGGAACAAGTGATAAGCCACAGTGAAAGCCAAAGTAAAACAGTGCCATTTAAGACTGATTTTTTTTTTGTGTAGGTACTGAGTATTATTGTGATAAGCATAAATATTAAATACATTATTTCCGTTTTAATTTTATTTTTTTGTGTTATTTAATCCAGTTTTAAATTATTGTTTTTAAGTAAATAATATTAAATGTTCTTTTTTGTAATAAACCTAATAAAACATGCTGAATTAAATGTAAATTTGATGTACCATATTAGTATTTTTTTTCTAATTATATTACCGTCATATTTAAAAATTGAACCATCGTTTTAATTAAATAATCATTTCATTAGAAATCAAAAAGTAAGTTATTGTGTCGAATTTATGCGCTCATTCTATTCATGAGTCGTTTACACTTAAAATTGTTGAAATGAAACAAATACATAAGGTAAAATTTTCTATAAATTGGGCGTTGTCATTTCTTAAAAATGCTCTGTTACAAAGAACTTTCTGGAAGATTTCCCGTATACAATTGTGCATTACTACTATAGAAAGAGCAAATCGATTTAATCTAATTCGTATATAAAAATCTTGTCAGAGTTTTCGTGTTTATACTCCTTCGAAACGGCTTGACCGATTTTGATGAAATTTTATATATATATTCAGTAGGTCTGAGAATAGGTTTATAACTAATTTTTATACCCCTAAGTGTTAATGGTGGCTCACCCCAAAAAAATTTTTTTGGTTATATTTTTATGGTGTAGCATTAAAAAAAATATATTCAGTCTTTAATTTTCACCCTCCTACAACCAACCTCTACTTTTTAATAGCATTTTATATTTTTCAACACCGGCCGATAGCTTATCAATGGGGTTCCGTTTGCCAAACTCCTCAGTCCTTCGCTTGGGAGCAGCATAATAGCAAGTTTCGCCGAGCGCAATTTTTCAAATACATTTTAAAAGTAAATATTAAAAAGATATAATACATTTTTATATATATAATTTAAAAAAAAGTTGCAATAAATTAAAAAAAATAGTATTTGGTGTGTTGTTATTTTCACATTTCACAGCGCTCCATGCCTCTTCCACGTACGCACACAATAAATAAGATATATTTTCATACTCTAGAAATAATTCATAGGGCAAAACAACGTCAATGTTTGCCGGGTCGGCTAGTATCTATATAAATTTAAAATATGGTAGTAAAATAAAACAAAAATACATATTTTTATATGAACTCTTTATTATCTACAACAAAATGACAGATCCTTGTAGGTGGGTAAATAATACAATTGATGTAATTGTGTATAAACAGTTTTACTTTAGAAGCTCTGTTACCGCATATCACTACAGTGCTGTTCACAAGTCAATATCGGCTTGAAATTCATTTGGAATTATGTAATATAAACTTTATTATTAAAATTTGATTAAAATATTGAAGACTATATTTATTTTTATAGATATAAAAATGCCATTTTGTCTGTATATTTAGATTGGCTTAACTGAATATGGATATTATTTTAAAGAGGTAAACTTTTATTTTATGAAATTATAATGTCTTAAATTATCTTTGTTGCTATTGTACAAGATAATAAATAATTAGAAAATTATATAATTCTTATAAAAATAAACTACAGTAACACGTTTGTTGTTATGGCCAAAAGTAACAGAGACTTTTGAAACCTGATTCGTTTTTATTATAAAAAAAGGAATTCATAGTCGATTTTTAGTAAAAAACAAAGTTAGGATTTTTTTCATAACGTACGGGCCATAGCGCGTTTTGTTTATAAATATTAAACCAATTCGATAATTTGTATTGATATTATATTTTATTATATTTAAATATTTCCAAACCGATATTAAATTTCTACAATATTAAATGTATTGCTATACATTGAGTCTACGTCTCTGCACATCAATTTGCACTAAAGGTAGACAATAATATGGACTACGCGATCTGTTAGACATGTAGATAAAAGGTGAGAAAGGGATAGACGTATTTATTTGACACCTCTTCCATTTTCAAGCTTGTAATTCTACACATCGTGCAATCTATATTATGTCTGGAACTACCACACAACAATTTTTTAAAGCGACAGATTATAAAAAATTATAGGCTTATAAAAATTAATTTAAGAAACGTTTTTATAACAATTAGAAACAATTAACACATAATTTACAATTTCATAGATAATATTAACTATATATTTAACGTGTGCGATTATCGCGTAATGATTATAATTTGTTGATTTTATTTTATTAGTAGATATGTAACAGTAAGTATCCTGAAGAAAATGCGCTACATTTATTTGCTTTCGTGCTTTTGCCTTCTAACATATTATATTTGTTAAATAAATTCAAATTTATTTTGAAAGTGTCATTAGAAATAAGTAAAATATTTTTATTGCTTATTTGTTTATTTTAAAAGAATATAGGTTTTATAACTTTCTTTACTTAAAATTAATATATTAGGAATACATATAATGTATTACATAAATATTGAAAGCGGATAAATGTAACCATTATCATTAGTGTTGCACAATGTATTTAGTTTCGAGCTATTTCAAAATATGACCCATCGTTGTCATTTGTCAATGTTTATTGCATATTAATTAATAGAGCTTGTATCTTGTGTTTAATTTTTATTATTTATAATACTGTTACAATAAATATCTTAATTTTAAAATATAATATGTGCAGTGCTCTGTGTAAATAATTCAACAATTTTATATTTAGTTAAATAACCTGATTTTACTCGAGTGTCCGTAATCCTATATTTTATGTACATGGAAGGCATGAGGCGTGCGATTTATTTATAATCTGCAATATAAAACCTTAACATGGGTAAATTATATTCAATTTAAATGTTAAAACAATTTTAAATTATTATTCAGAAAGAAATATAGTTGTATTTTAGAAACATTTTACCTATTTTATCCTAATCTATGTTCTAGTTTACGCCACGGCTGCTACGCTAGGAATATGATAAGTACAAAATTGAGCTTTGTTGATATGTATCGTTTCAATTTCGCTAAGTGTTTGTCAATAGTGACGTTAAATTTATAAAATTACTTATGCAATGGATTATTGCGTTCATTTAATAAATTATAGTTTTCATATTTTATGTTTGTATCGTGAAACTAAAAAGCACATTTATTTAATTTAAATAAGAACTTTTTTTAATTCCCTGTAGAAAGAGCTTTGTCAATGGTGTCAAATTAAAAACTTTGCACAGATTATAAATTATATAGCTTTTTTTGGAACAATGATTTTGGTAATAGTTACATTCTATGATTTTTATATAGTTAAGGCATTATACATATATATAAATTTATCTTTAATTTAATTCAACATATTAAAACTAATATTAGAAATAAAATTAGAATTGTACTCTAACTAACCATCCAAAATATATATGGACTTGCCCTATTTAATAACTTAGATTTCATGTCTTTCGAAGACCTAACACAGGTTATCTTAGACGTGCAGGTTTCTTCGCGATGGTTTCCTTTACTCTAAGACAAGTAATAATAGTAGCTAATCATGTTAGAAATTATACGCACTTAAATTTTCCGAGGTGCGAGACCCGGGATTTGAACCCGCTTCACTCGGTTTCCTAAGCGAGCGCGTTACCACTCGGCTACCACTGCCTTAATCTTAAATCTTAATAACAAAGTAAAATAATGGTAGGGCACGTCTATATATATAATTAGATGGAAAACAACAATAATAAAACATATGAAGAGTAGAGACTTTCATGAGACGGATTAAAAATGTGTGTATTTTTTTTAATTAGTCAATAAACAAACAAGGACGCGCTAGTCTACAATACATATTATGTATATATGTATATATAATATATTTTTTTATTTACAGCAATTAGGCGTGCCATTTTAGTACAGATGAAGGGATTATATTATACATATTACAGTATAAATAATCAAACAGTATCAAAACATACCAATTTCCATGCGGTAGGTACGATTTTTAAGTTAAACACTGTAATGCTATCTCGTGGTGAGTTACGCTTGTACCCCGACCCGTCAACCCTAAACCCGTTTCCCAGCTGTCATATAAAAGTATGTATTGTAGTTGGGTGCGCTTCTCCCGGTTTCACCTCGCATACACTGTGATATTATTTTGCTCTGGAAACGACACTTAATATAGCATAAAATGACTGTCTCTACTCTCCATGAAATATTAAGTATTTCTTATTTAAACTTAGCAATTTTATTCATAGATGTGATTGACTTCAATATAGTAAATATTCTATAAACATTAAAAATAATATATTAGTCTAAGTTGATATGTCTCGTTTAGAATTTTTAATTCGATTTTACAAATTTACTAATAAATTGCTCAATTTCGAGTTATATAAGTTATAAATAAAATAGGACTACGCCTTTCTATTAATAATGATATGTATTAATTTAAGCTTCAACGTATTTATAGGACTCAAGAATCCCGGCGTTCTCCCACTGCAATACAGCGAGTATTCAAGCTTTTTCATTCATAAAGAGGTCTCAATTCGACACAAAAGCTTTATGCTATTTTAAATAAACAAAATTTTATTTTACAATAAAATTTTACATTTATAGATTTTTCGATTTATATTGTTAATTTGTATTCATTAAGCATAAGATTTTTTTAGCTTAGCTGAGAGTTCTCCGGGAATATTTTAAACCTAATGGAAAGAAAGCAAAGAAGGTTGAAGATCTAGAAATTTTTGTACATTAACAGTTATAAGAATCTAACAGGTCTAAGTCGTTAAAACTTTTCGAACACAAGAATCTAGACTACTTCAAATTAAAGCTTCTTTCATTACCAAACAACGCATTACCTCTGTAATGTTTCAGTTATATTTGTCTAAGTGTTCTACGTAATGCTAACAACAGGCTAAATTCACCAACGTTGGTTTTCAAGGTTTTTTATGTCATGTAATCCTTATTTTTTATATCATCATATTAATTTTTTTCATCTGTGGTTGTTTTTTTAATGGAGCTTCGAAGTTAAATGGCGTTAATTAATTTAAATGCCAGTCATACTTTATGTAAATCCTCATGCTTTATTCCTGAAAATATGTACGGTTTACAATTCATTAATATTTAATTTAATTGTCATATATGTTTTATTTATATTTTACCGATATTGAAAAAAAGAGGTTTGACTAGCTTTCTTTATACCAACGTTGTTGATCGCCTGTCCGCGTGTTCTAATCGTGCATTCACATTGATAACCTCTACTTACACTTATCTAACAGAAAGGCTCATTTCTACAACAGACTACTCCTATCTAAGAGATCTTCACGTTACAGATCCTAATAAATATACATTCAAAGTAATTCTATAATACTTAAACAAAAGAAATATCGAAATGTCAATATTAAAACATTTAATAGAAATGAGGGATTGGGACATCTTGAAATTAGTAAAATCAGCTGAAAAAGCTACAGCAATTATATAATATAAGGTGGGGTATTATGAATCATTTCATATAAAGATCGATGTAAATTGACTTGGAAGAAACATTAAGTAGTATTTGAAGTATATATATAATATAGCATTGTGTTAAAAAATAATTAATAATTTGTTACTTAACATTTGTGCTATGTCGTGTTTGCAATATAATATATAATGAAAAAAATACTTAAAAAACTTTAGTAAGAAAAATATTCAAATAACTAACGTCTTATTGGATTGAATATTTGATAATATTTTAATAAAAAAGATATTTTCACGTCAAAAAACTAATTATCACAACCCCCCCACCAATGAAAATCGAAGTAAAGAACGAAACGCTAACAGTGTAAAAGGCATAGTACACTTATTTACAAAACCCAGCCTTTAAGATCGACCTACAAGCACCAGTTCTAAGTCGAAATTAAAATAAAACACTTAACTATGATATGTTTAGTTCATCTCAGTCTTCATACTACTACTAAAGTCAGTCCTAAGCTAACGGATTTTTCAACCCCATAAGAAGAGGACGCGATTTTTCCAAAACATAATTCACCAAAAAGCATCTCCGAATCAAAATACATTCTAGAAAAATATTTAGGTATAATTGCGTCAGCGACGAGTTTAATTAAAGTATATATTGTAATCCTCACAGCTTTCATGATATGTTTTGTCTTATATACACTTATTATATCTAAATCGGTGTCGAGTCGTGCATCATCTAAAGCGAGTGCGTGCGTACATATATCTACATTATCCTTATTAAATTCATAACATTCCAAAATAGATACAAAATCTTTTACAATATACTCTGAGAAAGGAACAACGTCTAATGAATTCGAGGGAGTGTCGATTAAATTCGTTAAACAATTGACGATATTTTTGATGTCGAGAGGGATTCTTATGAAATGGTATATGAAAGTTAAGATCTGGGGTGGATTGAGGATATATGTGAGGGATAGGAGAGTACGGACCTCTTTGAGATTATAGAGGATGATAATAAGGGTATGTATAGAACTAACGAGCACTATACGGATTTGTTTGAGATTGTACATGAGGGTTAGGAGGACTATTAGGATATAGAGGGATGCAAGGGGTTTATTAGCGCTTATAGCCGAGCTGGGTGGTGCGGGGTAGACCACGTCAACTTCGGCGATTTTGAAAATGGACAGCAGTAGATGAGACGATATGTCCTCATGTTGCGAGTTGATACGAGATTTGACTATTTTCAGAACGTCGATGCATGCCTCCTGGAAAAATAAATGTAATAGGTATAAAATTTTGAATTATTATATCAATAAAACAAAAAAAAAACCTGTACATCGCAGTACAAATAAAACTTCCAGAGTATATATAGATGTTGCAGCATGCTCAATACAATTACACGTCTCGTATGGGGATTGATTTTGCTACTGTCTATATAGAGTAAGTAGTCACTTCTAGCGAAAGTATAATAAAAAACTAAGAAGCAGTTTATTTACAAGTAGTTTTAGCCCACGACTTCAATCTTGTTCCGTATGCATGCCAATAATATTGCACTTATGTGTTAGTCTTGGATATAGGTTATCTCCATTGCAAAATTTTATTCCAGTTCGTGAGAAAGTAACAAATACAAGCGCACTTATTCGTTTATTCACAAATAATTTTTATTTTTAGGTACATTATCCGTGTAATGATTGTTAGCAATATTATGAATTGTTACTAGTATGAGAATAGAACAAATGTAATTATTACTATTATTTAGAGCCAAAATACTTATTTCCTGCCAAGCTTGTAGAGATGGCAGCACCAAAAACTGTATTTAGTATGAGTTATGATTCATAAAATAAAGTCAAAACATATACCCTTTTAATTAAAATATGTGGAAGTGGAAAAATTGTGAGGTATAAAAAGAAAGGCAGTGTATTTTCTGGAATGAGTTGAAGTAATGCTGTAAGGTGTCATAATGTAAATTTTTATAATATGCATTGTGATTGTGTTAAATAAGTAACAAGTGATGTGAAAGTGAAATAAATAAGGTAAAGTACGAACAGGTTTCTTATACCGGCCTTTGGTTAGAGGAAAATTCTAACATGATAAAGTGCTCAATTATATTATACAAACCTTTTCTCTATCAAGCAGGCCTTCACCGGCCTCTCGTAGGGCATCTTGCTCTTTTTGCGGGACACTGGCCGAAATGATCACATTCTCATTGCTGATATTGAATAGCGTAAGAGTGCAGTTTGTCTGAAATTAAATGTTATTTATGATTTTTTTTTGCTGGTAGAAATATTTTTAGTGAAATCCTTTACGATATCAATGAGAATGAGGGTTGTATTTTGTGAGTGAGAATACCGTTACCAATTATTTTACATTATAGTCATTATTACTTCATCAAAAACATTTTAAAATTTTTGGGAGTAATAAATAAATACGTAGGAACATCGCACCCGGGCGCAACTGAGGCGCTCTTGCGACAATTGTATACCAAAGTTTACCGAGTTTTTAATGAAGACTGTTTACTTTGTACCTCAGGTTGCCTGATTTACTCCTGTACCTCAGGAATAAATTGACAACTTACTGGTTGTGTTTAACAACGAATTAAGACCAATAAATCCAATCCAATTGTTCGTTGGTACTATGTCAGAAACTCTCGTTTGCATGTCGGTAGTTCGTAGAGCGTGTAAAAACTCTATTTTTTTGGTAATCATCATCATCATCATTATAAGTGTATATAAACAAATGCGACATAAACAAGTAAACATACAATAAAGTTCATATCTAATGTAAATATTATAGATACAAACCTCTCCATGATGAACAAAATGCAAGTACTGCTGGAGCAGCCGTACGGCGTCTTCCGCCCCGAGCCCGGTGTGAGGCCGCAGGAGTGCCTCATCCACTGCACTGAACCCAAGCAGCAGGTACACACCCTCTGGTAGCTTGTACTCTCCTGAAGAATATAATTAAAATTTTAGTTTTATATACTATAGCATATTTAGCGCCATAAGAACAATTATAGCTTAAGTAATCCACTTAAACTGACATGAGCTGCACAATATATATTTAGTAGTGATAAGAGGTTATTATGGAAGGTCTCCCAATGGTGGTTTAAGTTGCCATTGATATCATATATCTAAATATCTAATAATATAATATCCCACGGCACTGACTAACCGGCATAAAAAAGTAGGTAACTCCTTATTAGTTTAATGCACAGTGCACACTGACATGATGTGTCAAGTTTCATAAGCGAAATTGCATAAATATTCAAACATATTAACAACCTTTACATTTATAAAATTAGTGGAAAGTAGTGCAATAATTTTGTATTTGCCATCATAATATTGAAATTAATATTATTCTTATAAAATACCAGCAGAACACGCGGCTTCGCTCGCTCTAAAACTACAAAGAAATATCTAAAAGGGTAGTTTCATACAAACTTTCATCTCCTATTTTACCCCCCTATAGAATAAATTTTGAAAAATGCTAAAACACATATTTATTTAATTTTATTGAAGAGCATTAATGCCAAGTTTCAAGTAATTCTGATTATAAATATTTTTTAGATTGTATTATATCGTGTTTTCCCGTGGGAATAAATAAAATGTAGCCTATGTCACTCCAGCCCTCCAACTATCTCCACACAAAAAAATCACTTCAATCCGTCTCTCAATTTCAACGTGAAAGAAGGACAAACAAACAAACACACTTTCACATTTATAATATTAGTATGGAAGTATGGACTAGCGATTTATTCTAGATTCGCTTGGGTGCTCCCCTGTGTGCCCTGTTACTCCATGTCAGTCTATATATGTATACTAAATTTCATCCAAATCCGTTTTGATATGAAAGAGTTACAAACACAAAGAGTTAAAATTAAAAACACAAGCACCCTCTTAATTTTTTTTTATGTACCTTTTACGATGTATTAGAAAACAATTAAAAAAAAGTAAATGAAATCTGTAGAGGCGTTGTCAAGTTAAAGTGTGACAAGGAGAAATAGGGGTTAATTTTTATATATATACGTACCTGGGTTAGGTCTCATACAGATAAACGAGCCAGAGTAGCAATAGCAGCGGCCCCTGTACGCCTGGTAGGCGGGCGCGGCGTGCGAGTAGTGCGCCAGGCGCGAGGAGCAAGGCGCGCGAGGCACGCAGGCAACCTTGCACGACACCTGGAGCGACGCCTCGCACACGCACAGGTCCGTGCATTCTGCCAGTTCTGCTGATCTGTATAGCTGGAAGAGGAATTGAGATGAGAGGAATAGCAATGTCATGAATGAGTTTCGAGTTTTCGTAGATGTTTGAACAGCAACATATTTTTAGATTTGGGACTTATTTGGTTGGATATTTAAATTGCAATTTATCTTTGTGATGTTGTTAGTAATAAGGTAAAATAATAGACAAATAATGTGTTTTTGTTCTAAAACATAATCGTTTTAAATCAATGATTTTTGATTAATGAAGGAAATATTCACTTCTTATAATGCCATATCTTTAGCAGGTCCAATATTTATAGCCTACAAAAGTTATGTTGAATATATTCGTCAAGCATTATTTTAGAAACTGGAACTTCCTTCAAGTAAAACATTCAGACTGGCATAAATGATTTTGTTAAAAGTTATAAACATTACCATTATGCTAAAAAGAGTGCTCTTTTATATGTAAGCTATCACTGCATAAATTATTTGAAAAAATCATAAATGAATAATATTATAAACATATGTTTGGGATTGTCGATGTTTTTATATTTTAGTTTCTTACCATCTCTGAATTTTCTCTTTTTGTCTTGCTATTTAAAATATTTCTCATATAATTGTTGGTTGAGTTCACTGTAAGAGATCTCTTTTGGAGATAAATCCACCTTTGTCAATGTCAAATGTAAAATGAAATAATACTTGACATTGGCAGAAATTAGCTGGAAAATCAGCTGGATGACCAGAAATAAAATCATATCATGTTTCTATAGATACAAACTCACTCGTCTCGTTTCTCCCATCTTTATGTATTGTGCTTGATCGTCACTCTCCGGTTTCTTTACGATGCAATACTTCGTCGGTTCCAGAGTTGTTGTTGGGCGAGGGGTTGTTGTAGTTGTGGTAGTGGTGGTCGTTGTTGTTGTGGTTGTCGTGGTTGTGGTGGTTGCGGTCGTCGTGGTTGCGGCGGTTGTTTCGATTACCGGCTCGGATATTTGAGCTACTTCGTTCGGACCAACTGTTTGCTCAGACAGAGTAGTAATTGGACTTAATTCTTCTCGGTTTTCCTGGAAACAGGAAAGTGAAATACAAAATAAGTATTTTTGTTTAATTTTTCTTAAAATTATTATCTATATCGTGTTGGGTCCCTAATAAGACTTCGAGATATTCCTTGCTTGTATTCTTATATTCAGTACTTTTGTAAACGTCAGTGAGTTACATAATTATAATCATAATTTTCAGTATTACAAACAATCCGTGACCAATCACTACATGGTGGTACCGACACCTCTGTGCAAAAGCGCGGGAAAACAAATCCGCGCCCTTTTTTATTTTTTTTAAAACACATTCCTATTGGCCAAGGTCACATAAGTAAATGCCTTATACATAAATCATTACAAATTAATCAGATATATTATTTTCTATTAAAACACTCAATATATAAAAATGCAACCTTACAATCGATAAATGCACAGTTAACAATAAAATAATAAGTATAACAAAGAAGAACAACTATTATAGTTTTATTTATTATTATTACGATTTGCAGTATGAACTCTGTATGTAAACATATCTAAATAATATTATTCTTACCTGCATTACATCAACTTGTGAAATTTCATGTTGTGTTGTACGGTGGTGATGGGTTGTAGTTCGGTGGTGAATTGGTGGCTCGGGTGGCATAGTTATGTATCTGATGCCATTGTCGAATGGCGTAGTAGTTAGCAGTGATCCATAGGTCTTCACGTGGTAATCGCTTTGAGATTCCACTGGAAATGGACGTACAGAAAATGTTACTAACGTATGATATGTACATAAGTTACTTATACAAGAAAACATAGAGAACTGTTTTCAGCTATCTTGATTTCCAACCAAAAACACCTTGGTGGTCAAGATGTGTATGGGCCGTATGAGAACGTGTATAGAGACAGATTGTAAACTTATTTATCATTGATCCCTCCACGACCGCAGACACGCCGCGCGGCGTGTCAGTTAACAATAGATTTCTTAGAAATTTAATTAATTTCTTAGAAATTTACCTGGATGTATTAATAAAAAAAAACTTAAGCTAGAAAAAACTAAATCGTATCAATGTAATTAATACTACATACGAGTATATATGTAGAAATAACCTTACCGACACAAGGATTCAGCCACAAAAGCCTCTGCCAGCCGAGGCAATCGTATAACTGAGCAAAATCAGTTCCTCTACAGGCACATGCAGCTCTGAGCTGGGTCCCTAGTACTGCCACTACTGCCGCCCGACAGGCTGCTGGAGAACCAGCACAACCTTGGGTAACAGCGTCCACCGCGCACCATTGTTCATAATTTTCTAGTCGAATTCTGCAAATATATTCAGTATAGCAGTAATAATGGCTAATTAATATAAAAAATCTTTGATATTAAAATATCCCATAATTAGGTAATAACAATTGGAGGAATTAATAAAAATTGGTCATTATATCTGTCTGTCTGTTTGCAGAGTCAAATTATGGTATTTTTGATCACCAGCTAGCAGAGCCATTCGGAATCTTTTTTTGGTTAAGACTAGCCAACGCGAGAAATCATAGTATACAAGTACATGCACAGACACAAGGACACTCTCATCTTTATCGCTTTAATTCTCGTAATCAAGAAGGACGTATATTCAACACGACGTTTGGGGGATAAAGCGCTATAATATGAAATTATTCACACTTGATTTCGTTTTGTTTTCATATAACTTTAACTATATACCTGCATCACATTACAGTTAAATTAAAAACAAAAAAAATGTAAATATTCATCGTAATTCCCATCCCCATTTTGATTCAAAATTAATCAGCAAACTATGAAGACCAAGAAAATCATTATAAAATTTAATATTATGTTATCCCAAACTCAGTTTAATAACATAGATCCCTTTTCGGTTGAAAATCACACAATCCAAATTTCTGAAATATGAAAACAGGTTACAATGTACAAATATTTTTGCATGCGAGGCACATGTGGTACGAGTACGAGGGAAGACGCTGATTAATTTACAAAGCAAACAAACTCTCTTCGTGTATCTATATATAAAACATTATAAGACTGATAATATTGTAATGAGGAACGACGTATTTTCCTTCAAAATAATTTCGATGTATTAAGTTTAGTAAAATTGTGTTTTATAATAAAAATTGATATTTTTTTCGTTTATATAGTTTTTGGAAATAATAAAAAAGAAATCTTGGATTGAGTTTTAATAACAGATTTATTTATCATTGCTTAACCCAAACCGGTCAAGAGCAATGGTTCCCAAAATTGACTGGATTGCGATCTATCAAAAGCTTTCGAATTCGGAACCCACCTCTTCGCTTTCACACAGAAAGAAGGACATAACTATATGAATGATGGACTGCTCAAATAAGAAAAAAAACATTCACTTACAATCGAAAATTTATTTAATTAAATAGGTGCAAGGAGTGATATTTAAATGAGAACGATATATGTATTTGCTACCTCATTCATATGACTTGGGCTTATCCAATATTCGCTTACCCACCCACGACCCACTAATCAGCTGCGACTCATATCTATGTATTTGGGAACTGCTAATTTAGAGAGCTAAGTTAGAGGCAAGCTAAGCTGTATACAATAACTAAGATTTTTTTGTACCCAAATAGGGGAAGAGGGCAGCGTAGTTTATGTAGACATATATTTTTTGACCGAGTTTGGTACTGACCAAACTTGTACTGTACTGACTTACTATATAACTTATAGTTAAGTTACTAAGATTATATGTAACAATAATAATAATAATAATGTCCTCTTGACCGATTCCGGCCACGGCGCGGCGGCCAATCTCATTGAGACTAGCCAACTGCGCAGGAGATATCATAGTGCTTAAGTGTACGCGCAGACACAACGTGCACTCTCTATTCCTGTCACTCTCATACTCCAGTGGGACGACTACTGGACACGACCAGTGTCAGAGTTAAGGCGCAGGACCGACTACTTTACGTGTTCTCCGAGGTACAGGGGTGAAACACCGCCAACTTCCCAACTGCGGGTTGTTACTGTGACTACCTTAACAGAAGACTCATTAACTAAATTTGGCCCGACCCGGGTTTCGAATCCAAGACTTCCGGATGTGCAGCCATACATGCTTGCTACTACACCACCGAGGCAGTTAAGATTATATGTATGTAGGTAATTAATGTTTATTGAACTCCGTCTCCTGTATACAATTTCAGTTATCTACACTGCACCAAAACTCGCTTTATTTATCTTTATAAAATTTCTAGTTTTACATAATAAACAAAATTCTTAAAAATAAAGCATCAACAAGAATTTTTCCAATATTCGGATAGCTTAAAAATGTTACTACCGTAGTACATTGCAATACAAGAGGTGAAAAATTAAACGGGAAAATTGAAAACTAGAAACAAGGGACCACAGACAGTCTCATTGCGGTCAACTGCAAATTGATTGGACGGTCTGTCAATCCGCTTTATCAGTGGAAATTCGCTTCCAACTATTTACTATAGGTTATAGATGTTGATACTAGATAGTAATAGGTATATCATGTCAGAAACGAGTTAATAAACAATACGCATTCTTGCTCACACACGTGTCGTTCTAAAAGATCATAAATGTTCGATGTTTTTGATTATTATTTTTGAATTTAGCGACTTTTATAGTACTTTTTCGGCATAAAATTGCTTATAAATCTATTAAAACGTTCTTCTATACTTACTGAGTTACGTGAAGTAGGCTAACTTTCTAAGTAGATACCTAAGCTCTTCGTGACTGTGAATAGACTATTAAAATCCGTTCCGACATTTTTTCAACAGTTTTGTTATTGCGCAAACCAATATACGATCTCAAAATGCAGTAGCTATTATAAAATGATAGATTTCTACTATAAGTATAAATCAAACATTATTTAAACGACTTATTAAATTACTTGTAAAAAATAATATTCAAGCCCTTGATTTACGTTTCGGAAATTTTCATTTCATATATTAAGCATTTTCATTTCGATGCAGTCAATGAAATAAGTACCACTTAGTGTGTAATAATCGGAAAACCAGACAAAATAACCATGCGCTATTTTTCGCTTGATATGATAATATATTGACGATAATTTTTTTAAATTCAATTTCATAATTAAATGCTCACATCATTCCGCATTCAAGGCAGAGCACAAACCACAAATCACGGGTAAAACTTACTTATATATTATATGAAAACGCGTTTGCCACCGTTACCTTTATTACTTTATTACAATTCATTGTTTAAGCAAATAGTACCCACATATGTATGTATGTATGTTTTTTGAAGGTCGTTCATTTCATATGATATGACTAAATTTTATATATTATATTTAGGATATAATCTTTCTACATATATCTTTTTTATATATTAGCGACTCACCCTCGCTTCGCTCGGGTTCGTCCCCAGGTAAGTTTTAACGGTTAGTATGAATATAATATGCATGTATTATACATATAAACCGTCCTCTTGAATCACTCTATCTATTGTTGAAAACTGCATTAAAATACGTTGCGTAATTAAAAGATCTAAGCGTACAAACAGCGGAAGTACCTTTGTTTTATACTAAGTATAGATTTCATAATTCATTATACTTAATAATTCACATATTATATTTAAGATATAATCTTATAGATGAGAAACGTGTAGCTTAAGTGACCACAGATACAGGTGCTCAGTTATAACGAAGTGCTGAGGTCTGACTGTGCCATGCAGTCAACTATACAAGTGCGGTTGGCGGGCAATTGTTTCGAGTTCACATTATTTGAAGTAGCAGCAAAGTTTGATTTAAATTCAATTTATCTCTTTTTGGAAAGTTCTCGCTCTGCTCTTTAAAATTTATACATATTATAATATTCTATCTGAGTCGAATCAGTACATTAAATATTTTTTTTGAAAATCTTATTGAAATATTCATTATTATCGATAAAGAGGCTGAATATATAGTTTGTAGAATTTTTGTCTGTCTGTCTATTTAGGAACGCATCACGTGAAAACCACTGGAACGATTTTGATGAAATTTGGTATGATGATAGCTGGTTATCCGTATCAACATATAGGATACTTTTTACTGCGGGAAAATATCTCATCTTTGAGAAATCTATACTAACCGTTAAAACGTACCTAGGGACGAACCCGAGCGGAGCGAGATTGAGTAGCAAGTATGAAATACATATGTTTTATATCGTAATGCTTCTAACGTGGAAACAGTCACCGAATTTAGCTATTTATTTTCATCTGTCATATCAAGATCAAGTGCTTGTTATATGAATAATAAATAAACATGAAAAAAAAATCATAAACGTAAAAAGAAAACATGTGATATAAAATTACAATATGATAATATTTTTCTAACCGATTTTCATTTACCGTGGCTAAACTCACGAAGATCAGATCTGCGTAAAAGATATACCTATAGATTAGTGTAGTCTCTCTCCTTGGCTCTTGATAATTCAACATTAGGGCATTCTAAAATAACTAAAAACGAGTGCAGGGTCGGATTTTCAGTACAGTAAAGAAAGAAGCCCCTACAACTAACTTATTTTAGACTGCCACTTCTCGATAGATAAACCACGACAGTAAAAGGAAGTTAAACTATGAATACTATATGAAATCTACTACAGCACCAAAACGACCCTTATAATAAATACCCCAGCAGTATCTACAAACCAGCACTATAGCAAAGAAACAGGATTTTAAAAAAAAAAATTTTGGCTCACAGCTTTCTCGCTTGGTAAACGGGGATTAAAAGTTCCCAGGTTACCTATGTTCTTACCAAATTTCATAAAAATCCCTGCAGTAGTTTAGGCGCGAAAGGGCAGCAGACAGACAGACGGAGAGACTTTCATATTTATAGTATTAATATCCAATGGTAATATTATATTAGATATTTATAAGAGCTCACATATAGTATGTAACACGAAAACATGAACAATTACAATTCTACTTGTAACATGCAAACCCTTTTCCAAAGCGAGCTCTGTAATTTTCAAGTAACTTCTACATTAATTGTTACGCATACATAAGTATGTACAGCTTTGTTCATTGAATTTCAACCGTATTAGAAGGAATTAGGGTTTAATTTTCGGTTTGGAATAATTATTTTCATTGACTAATTGAGCTTTTGGAAACCGACACAGAGATGGAGTAATAAACTTTCTATACTTAACTCTGTGTAATAAATATTTAACTTAAATTGATAATAAATATTTAACTTAAACTTAGAATAAGTTGTTTTTTAATCAAACAAAGAGATTTTTTGTTTTTTAATGAAACAAAGAGAACAATCTGTGAAGTCAATTTCTAATGAAGGATAGAATGAAATT